TTCTTTTAGGTCATTTATAATATTTCATAATATTCGATATGCATGTGCTATCTATTTCATTACCAATTATTTTTTAGTTATTCCTAAAGTTTTATTGATAAATTTTGAATTATATCTAAAATAATGTTTATTTTGACATTCTCAATATGTTTTAAAGTGATATATGTATTGTCATTATTTTAACACGAGAGTCGGCTGAAAAGTTCATAGGCTAACCAAGATACTCTCATGGAATGTGACTAAATGAAGTTTATTTTTCAACATAATCCCACTTGCGGTCCACTCACTTATTCCATTGGTGTTGCAGTGCTTGGATAACATTGGTGAAGAAGCTTTCATCGTATTGGTAAAAAAAAACTATCAAGAGCAGATATGACGTCATCATCACTACAATACTGGTTCCCGGCCAAGTGTTTTTTTCAAGCTGGGGAACTAATGATAGTCAAATCAGGAGAACAGGGAGAGTGATCAGCCAGTCACGCACTGTAGCCATTGAAACCAAGGACGTGTGTGCTGTAGCATTGCCCTGATGAAACAAGAGCCCTTACGTCAGTTTTCCTGTGCATTTGGTCTTGATAGCCTTTCGCAACTGACTCAGAAAGTTGGCATAATACTCTTCATTGAAAGTGTAGCCCTTTTGAAGATAGTCAATAAACTCAATGCCTTTTACACCCTAAAAAGTGATGCAATCACCTTCCCTGCAGATGAGGTGGGGTGTTTCCACTGCATGATTTGTCTGTTTGCCTATGGCTCAAAGTGATGAACCCAACGCTCATCCTAGGTTACGAAACGTTCAAGAAAACCAGTTGAATCTGCCTCAAAATATGTCAGATTTTCCCGCTTTTGATCAGGTGTCAGAAGACTTAGCACCAATCGAGCAGAAACCTTCGCCAAGACCACTGTGCAGAATATTCTGAACTATCTAACGGGATATGCTAATAGTGTTGGCTATTTGATTTATAGTCAATCACCTGTCATCCATCACCATGTGATGAACATCTTCAAGACTCATCCTCTCGCTCCTAAATTCAGCTGACCACTTTTCACTGTTGAAAAAACTGGAGTGTCTTCCCCTAATGTACCAACCATGTCAACATGAATGTCATTGTGGGCTAAATACTTTTTCTGCAGGTACTTCTGCATCACCATCATGCCTAATTTTGCCCATTTTCAAGAGAAATCGCTACTAGTTTGAAATCTTCTTTGTCAATTTAATTGGAAAAAACAAAGCAATTGATAATAAGAAGAGTTAACATTTATGCATGCAAGATTCCACGGCTCTAGCATCATTCTTTCATAGTCAGCCTATAAACTCTTCAGTCCATCCTTGTAAATGAATTTTCATTAATATATTACCATATATCTCTTTTTTGTCTCGTATCTGTATCTTTCATGATGTTTTTAATCATTTCATCCCAAGTAAGATAATAAAGTCACTAAGATGTAAGAGGTTACTGAATGTGAGATAATATATATATATATATATAAGAAAACATTATTAAGTAGAGTGAACAATAACAGAAGCGGTATTAAGAAGACAGAATACAACGATTGATATTGCATTTATTATAATAATGCGTATAGTAGCACGGAAGAACAACCGAAACAACAGTGCCGCCGGTGAGGCGAAAGAAAAAAGAAGGCAAGTATTTTAAATATAAAACTCTTTTGTATTGCTGATACAGCGGATGCGAACTGAAGATATCTATGTGGGTAATGCATGTTGAGGAGAAGAGAGTGATGTTGGTAAGGCCTAGAGTTGATGCGTTTGTCGGATCGGTTGACTGAGATCACGTCGAGAGATTCCTGGAGTAGATTAGTGAAGTTACAAATCTGACTTATTTCGTTATGAGTGGTTTTCTTAAAGCAAATATGGTGGCTCCCAGACTCATCTTTTTTTTTTTTTTTTTTTTTTTTTTTTTTTGGTAGCAAAATTTCTTGATTGTATTCTTTTAAACTGTATTTTTTATTTATTTATTTATTTTATTTTATTTTATTTTTTTTGGAGGGGATTTGGTTTGTGGGGCAGATGTGATGCGCGGAGCACCTGCATAGAGGGAGACTTTATATTTTTGGTTTTGCTTTCTGAGCGTTCACACCCGGCCGACGTGTAGAGTGAATCAGAAAGAGATTTAAATTGAATACGGAGTATAATACATTTAAACTTTTGAAGGTCAAAGTTGACTGGAAAGCAAGAAGTCGGAAGAGAGTTCTACACGCGACAAGTGCGAGAGAAGAAACTGTTAGCATAGAAATACGGTTACATCTGGACATTGCAACTATAAAATGATGAGATCTCTGATATTCCATTGCATGCTCAAAAATAAAATGTTCTACCTGCCGAATAGTAATTTTAACTTATTTTTAAAAATATTCTTTCTCGTTATCTGTCTATAAAAAGTAATATTTGAGAGACACAACTCACCGCTATATTGGTGACTCTACATCTGCTACATTATTGACATTATTAAGCACAATAGTAGTGATCCACATCTGCTACAACAATAGCTATTATATTATGAGCGCACTCTGAAATAGTTGCCAATACTCGAGTTTTAATTATTTTTAAACCTGGGCTTTAGTAGTCGCATGGTGTTTGAGTTGTAATTTTTATATAGGTTACAATCTAATATCGTATTTCCCTATTTTGTCGGAGATTGACTCGAAGTTTTCTTCTTCTCTTCTTCTTTATGTGCCATGTCCCCTCAGGATGTAGCCGATCATGGCTCTCCACAATTTCCTGTCATCTTTTCACGTTTCGTTATTTCAATTAAACCTTGTTCCGCCCTCCATTTACTTATGCTCACCAAGTATTTTATGCATTGTTTTCTTCTATCCCTCTTGCTCTCAACCTGTCCTGTGAGTATCAGATTTTCCAAGCCCTCCTTCCTCATTATGTGCCCCAGAAATGTCAACTGTTTCTTACTTTTTTGTTTCCATTTTCTCTAAAACCACGTCGTTGCTCATATGTTCGGTTCATGTTATCCTCAGCATCCTTCTCTAAAACCACATTTTTATTGCTTCATGTATCTTCTTCATCTTTGAGGAGATTGTCCCGCATTCACTGCCATATAGAAGGATAGATATCACGCAACATTTCAGTTCTTTTTTTTTTTTTTTTTGTTTTTCCGTTTCTTAATATTCTGCTTATCTTTTGGAATTTAACAATGGCTATCCCAACGCGTCTTCGGATTTCAGTGTCGCACTTTCCGCCTTCTTTTAGAACACTCCAGAGATATTTAAATGTTTGTACTTATTTGATTTTGGTGTCGCTGTTTTGTAATTCGCATTTGGGGCTCATCCTTTTGATCAGCATGTTTGAATGAGACCGATTCGAGCAATGTGGACTGAGGTCAAGTCATCAGGTTGTAGTTGTCTGGTAAGATACTAAGTGTTGTAACTCCATCCTTGGCTTTGTGATATGGACGTCCTATCCCTGTTTGCATAGTGTCAGGTTAAATAGAGAAATTGGTTGCCAGACAAAAACGAAGAAAGCTAAATGTGTTGATACTGAAGATAAGTAGTGAAGCAATACAGAAATGAGAATGTGAACCGATTCGTAGCGAAAGATTTATTTTAATTTGTTGTACAGCGTACTGAAATGAAGAAGAGTACAATATTGGAAAGAAAACAACAATTTTGGGATATAAGTTTTCACTATCTTTAGCTTATTGTCAGTTATGTTGGCCGTTAGCAGTTGGTTAGTTAGTAAGTTATGAGGGAATATTTTAAACTCAGTGAATTAAGACTAGTAGTGTCAATGTATAATCAATGAATAGTGGGATTGTGTATAGTTTGATAAAATCTGTTAACTGCAATGATTATTATCGCTACTGGGTTAACCCTTCTGTATCTCGGTATTTATGAACGAAATGAGGTTGAATTATTATGTGCAGATACAAAAAGGCGTACGTCGTGTTCGGGACTATGACCCCGGTACAACCAGAAAAAGGGATTCCTGTGGGCTATAGCGGCTGAACATGCACATGTGAACCAAGGCGAAGATTGATTTCACCTGGTATTTCCGAAAAGGTACAAAGAAAATGGCATGCCGGATTTAACCCAAGAAGAAACCTCAGTGGCACAATTCTCAATAGGAAGTTTAAAAATATCAATCCATGTTTCAGAAATACATCGAAGGCAAAAAAAAAAAAATCCATGAGAGGCTGCTTAATACAAAAGTTGCTTATGTTGCGATTCTTTACAAATTCAAAAAAGGAGGGTATCCGTGTTTGATATGCAGAAAAATTGTTTGAAATACTGAACTAAACATTAAACGTTTTAACTTTCTTAATTAATTTAAATAAATGTTTAAATCAATTAATTATTCAGTGTCAAGATGGGTGTAAATGAAAATTACATAATTTTTTTTATTCATCATCATCATCGTCGTCGTGATTATCATCAAGCCTGTCGAGGGAGTGTCTTAAGTGGGAGTTCCTTTAAGGGGCCGCGATTTAAAAATTGTACAATAAAAATGAAATTAGTTTTACTGCAAATACATCATTTACGTTGGTAGAGAAAAAAACGCCTTCTTGGCAGCGGGTCTTAAATTTATTGTTTAGTTTTTAGGTGAGTAATAGTAAATTAACTCAACTTCCGTCTTGATCAACTTCGGTCAAAAACAAAACAAGTGCAGGCTTTCAATGTTGCAAAAAAAAACCCTCAATAAACTGCAGCTTTCCTCCTTTAACAATATGCATGTATTATTCGTATTATGAAGAAGAACGAATGTATACCAACAATTGTTCATTACATGTAAATAACGGAATTAAATAAACCGGACAACTAAGATAATCTCGCGAGAAGCTGCAGAGAAGCGATTCATAAACAACAGTGCTATTTCTTATGTCTTAAAAATGTATCCTTGCGCTGACCGCATTACCTAATAATATAAATAGAAGTGCAATACCAGTCAAAGTCAGAGCGGTGGTGCAGCTAACAGAATTGGTTGTGTGTTTCATTTCCTTGTCTTTAAACAAAATTCCAGTTCCACCAATATGATGAGAGTAGGTTATTTTACAAGAGGCACACTCAGCCGATCAAGGTGTGTATCGATGTTTTTGTTGATTAAAAAAATGAGTACATATTTTTACCTGATGATCTGTTCCTTTCCAGACATGATTGTTGTTGTTGTTAACAGAACTAAGATTACGTAAACTTAAGTGAATCGTCAATAACAGATTCTTTTTTTAATCCCAACATTTTCTTCGGTAAACTCCAAATTATTTCCATTTCGTTTCACCAAAGCATTGTAGCGACTTAAAATAACAACAGTACTTCGCTGTGGTATTTTATTTTTAAGCCTTGAAGGATGATATATTTTAATTTAAACTGCAATATTGAATAAAAAAAGTATTAGTAATTCATTGTTGCTTACTTGTCGTGTACACTAGTCACTAGTGACTAGTGTGACAGTAAAATAAATCCGTACAAAACGAGGTTATCTATTCTTTTACTTTTGAATATTTCTATTTTTTTATTTATTTTTTTCTTACAAAGATCGTTTCTACTATCAAAATCAAATTCAATTCAAATCTATGTTGCGAAAATGTTCATCCTGCTACTCCTTATGATAAATGGTATCTTTTAACTTCAATATGAATAATAATCGATATTTAATGAATGAAGGTAATGATGATCTTCGTCTTTCTTCCATCCCACACATTTTTCTTAATTTATTCGAGGTAATTTTTTTTCTTTAAAGCTCGTTTAAACTTTAAAGAATTCAAATTTTCTTGCTACTGAAAAAGCATTACGTCACGAATGTACTTGTTTGTTAATTAAAAAAATTAAATAACTCCTATCGTCTTATATTCAAATTTTATTATTCTTCTTATATTCAAATTTTATTATTCATTCTTACTTAAAATGTTGGTAATCGAAAAAGGAGGAAGTATTTTTTTAGTTTATTCATAGATTTTCTTTATAAAAGAAATGTAATTTAATTCTTTATTTTATTTTTTTACTTACCATTACTAATCTTTTTTTTTTTTTTTAAATATTTTTTTCCTTTTTGCCCTGAATTATATTTTTGAAAGAATATTTCATATTTTTAGAGATAGGTATGTTAAGAAGATCACCAATATCAAATCCAATTTTCTTTATTGTTTTAGAATTGGAAATCCCATATTTGCAAGGAAATTCTTTCTTTTTTAATTAAGCCCACATTTGAGTTTGTTTCAACTTTTTTTTTTCATAAAATTAACTAATTAACTTAGGCAAGAATATCTGAAACAACATTATTGTATTATCTGATATTTTTCCTTCATTGATACTGACAAATTGATGGAAAGTTACAAGTTACAGACGGAAAGTTCTTGTGGGTTTTTCTACAAGGGCGCACTGTCACATATCTAACCGCTTCTCAGCTGCAGCTGCCAAGATTCGCTTCTTCTTTTTTTTCCACTAATTATCTTATGGCGTATCGTATTTGCAGCCTCCCATTTTCCCAACATTTTCACCTCTATAATTCACTTGCACCTGTGGTTAGAGCTTTCAACCACATGTTTGATGAACGATTTTTAAGACAAAACACGTTCCTTGTGTGTCTTTGAGTCTGATATCACAATTAAATTTAAAAGTAAAAACAAACCCACAGGCCATGATTACTTATTGAATTTATTTACGACCTAATTTTCGCGGAATTTTTCAATGTTGCTTTTTTATTTTCATTAAAAAATAATCAATTTAAAATTGAATTTATTTAACTGAGTAATAACACGAGCGGGAAATGGGGGTGATACACTTGTCTCCCAAATGGAGCGAGTCTACCTTGGAAATCACTATTCATTCAAGATCTTTGTTTTCATTTTTAAAAAATCGAACTTCGACCTTGGGATACCAATGCTGATCGATTCTGTTCTTGCAACGAAGAAATTGATTATTTCACACTAGTTCAAATCCTAAGTAATTTTTCTCTTTTCCTCTCTCAATAATTACAATTATATTGTTATTGGGATTACAATACTTGACGCTACAAAAATAAATCTAAGGCTATGGAAAAGATGTTTATTTTACAACGTTAAAGCGTTTTTGAAAGATTTTGATTTTTTACTGTTTTTATTAACGATGTAACTAAGTTGCACCGTAAACTAACACTTTTTTTACTTAAACAATTTCAGTAGTAAATCAATTTTCTTTCTCGTAGATTTGTTTTTTAAGTTAAGACCTCTAAATTCTGTCGTCTTCAACAACCTGCTAGAGCTAGCAACTAAAATGCGTAGGTGGGCCAAATGATTCTTCATGTACAGGCGTTAGAAAGAAAGCTATTCTTAGTACTAAGTACTTTTGAAAGGAGAATCTTTTTACGTATTGAAATATTAATTAATTAAATTACCCACTTAAAGGGAGAATATTAATTTCTGCATCCTTGAATATTTTTTTTAATCTCGTATTTCCGTATGTTTTTGTTTGTTTGTTTTTTTTTTTTTATGATAAATGACCCATAGGTTGGACTCACTAAAGAGTAAGACTTAGTGAGTCCAACCTATGGGTCATTTATCTTCTTGTATAAGACAATATAATTGTTTACGAATGTACTCAAGTAACATTCCAGACATTGTTGATGTTGATTACCTAGAAAATTAAACAGAAACTTTATTTACAGTTTTTTTTACTACACGACACAGTACACATTTTGATTATCTTTTTTTTTTAACCAAATTTCATATCGCGAATTTCAATACACCAGGCAATTCCTAATAAAAAAAAAAAAAAAAAAGTACTCTATTCAACTGAGTAGCTAGTTGTAATTAATCACTGAATCGGTTATTTGTAGTAAAAAAAAAAAAAATCGGCATAACAAGGCAGATGAAACGAACAAAAAAATTTTTTTTTCTTTTACTTTGCCCGGTAGGTATGTCCCTTTTGGTTGTTTTTTTTTTTGTTTTTGTTTTTTTTTTAAACAAAAATAAAATTGATTCTCAACAAAGTTTGTTTTACGAACTAAACCCCATTCTGTGTAATTAAATATAATTAATGTATTTTTACCTTATTTCATCCAAAGTGCAGGGACCTGGGGGGTTACAGCACCCGCCTCATTTTTTTTTTTTTTTTTTTTTTTTTTTTTTAATAAAAATGTCACTTTGAGAATGAGAACTAGACATTAAATTTGGCCCCACGGTGCTATTTAATTTATTGTATAATTTATCTAAAAAAATAATTACTACAACCGTTAATTTTTTTAATTAAATCAGAAAATTTACTTTCTCGTTGTTCTTTTATTTATGAAACAATTTTTTTTATAAAAATTTTATGCGATCTAGAAAATATATACAAACGAAACGAATCTGATTTAGTTCCACCCCCACCTAACTTCACTTTTTATTTTGTGTCACTGCTTGCTTCTAATTTAGTTCAAAGGCATGGCCTGTTCAGTTTAGCTTGAAAAATGTTTATTTTTGGTTTTTTGAAATTTTCTTTACCTTTTAATTTACTTTAATTCCTTAAAAAAAAAAAACTATAAACAAAAATATATTATTTTACTATAAAAGTGCAGTTTTGATTGACGTTTATAACATAAAACATCAGAAGAACTATGCAGGAAAAACTAAGAGCAGATTACACCAATATCTGTAACAATAACAAAACACCAAATCTGCCCTGATCATTGCAATCAGTGCAAGTATAATTGGTTATCATCAAATTAATTGTTATTTCAAAAAATGTTTTACTCTTTAAGGTGGATTTATTTTTAGAACACCCATTATTTCACAGATTGGTTCAGTCACTAAACTGACATAGTGGATTTTTTGCATGAAAAGATACTTTGAATATGACCTTCATTTCTCCTGGAAATGTTTTTGTTGAGTATTCAATATATGCTAAACTGAACTCTAATTTGTGTGTTCTTCTATACACTTTGTGGGTCTTTTTTGTTAGTACATAATTAGTACAAAAGCCTTAAAAGAACAGAAAATTCACAAAACAATCCTTAACTGTAACACCTGATTTAAGTTATTTTGGGGAAGAAAAGAATGTAATTTAATCTTGATTTATTTTTTTTTTCAAACTACATTCTTTAAAGTTATACATGTTTGTTTGAAGACACAAAATCAATGCCCAGTTTTGCATAGTAAACTAAATATTCATTCTCATAAATATGGATACAAACAAGGTCCAATTTGTCATTATTTTGTAAATCAAATCCTCTTTTTAAAAGTTACTCACTTCCACTTTAAAATTTTGTTGGTATGAAAAATAAAAGAAATGAAGATTATATTGAAACAAGGCAGGCCAAACTACATAAGAAACATATATATTCATAAATAAAAGTTACTATTTGAGTTTAATGAATCTTAACTTTTATCAAGTACAGTGTAGTTTGATTTAATTCTTTCACCATGCATCTTCAGAACAACTCGCTGTCATCAATGATTGATCATTTACTTAAACTGTTTTGTTTCAAAAGTATTTTATAATATTAAGTTAAAATGTTATTTTCTTCTTTATCTAAATTTGTTTCTGGAATGTCCTAAATTAGAATGTTATGTAATCATAAATCAATTTGGATATTTTCCAATGGGATTTAGAAAATGGAATGATCCATGGTATGCAGTCTAGTAAATACTGATGAAATAACTAACATATGTCAGTTTAAACATTTTTAATATATAAAATTAACACAGACTAAAACTATTGTACACTGAAATGCCAAAAATTATGGGATAAGTATGTAGTATCATGTAGAATGCCTCTTGATTGGCAGAATGCTACAACTGAATGTGGCATTTATTTTCCCCTCAAGTGGTCAAATCACCTCAAATGTTGAACTATGCTATTTTAGTAACTGTCAACAGGTATGATATTTGCAGAAACAGTATCTTAGTCCCATAAATGCTCAAAACAATTGGAACTATATCTCCTCAGCTTTTGCTATACATTGCCAAGCTTCTACATTCTTTCTAATGACCTCATGAGTCTAGTTGAAGTGCCTGTACCTGGTGTTATAGTGTTAACAGAAACATCTTGGTAGATCTTCTACTCCTATATCCCATAGAAGCTAACACTAAACTGACCTGCTTTATATTCATCTGCTACCTCCTG